AACAGGTTCTTCGAATGATCATATCTAGTGTATCTGACATCTACTAATGCCTACATTTCAATTTGACATTTCATTTCTGCTTCTCTGGACGACTCAGAGCGAGTGGTTTGCCTGATTCTTTGATGGGCTAGTTAAGAGTCTATCTCAAATAGAGTCTATGCTGAAATTCTTAATCCCTTCAAAATTGGTTGATGAAGTAGGACGGGGCGCATGTATGATTTGGCATTTTTAAGTGGCCCGTTATGCTCGATTTACTTTGATGTCCGTCTGCTCGACAAACGGTTGCTGGGCGGATGCGCATTATGGGCAATCCTCAATTCCAATTTGAACGCATGCGTCCAGTTGCTGGGGCATAATTCATCTTGTTTAGCAAAATCAACAGGCCGCTCAGGTGAATTGTATCAGGTATGATGAGATCAGACATGCTGGTGGAGACTAGGGCTTGAGAGGAGGAAATCTTTTCAGCTGATTGGATTAATGAGAACAGCCAAAGTACGAAAAGGAGCGTATCCTTGCTATAATCTACGATCAACTCAGACCAAATCGAAAATCTGATCAAACGAAAAATAAGCCATGCCAAGCCTCGCAACCTTATACAACTGGACAGTTGCTGATTCGGTAGCAATGCAGAGGCGGAAGTTGGGAATTCGGCATTTGGTGTATCGCATGCCTTGAAGATGAGCCATCCACTGCCTGCGATAGGCCTACCTGCAGTTTGTTCGGTTTGAGAATGAGACAAGAAACGCATCTGGACGGCTGTTTGATGAACGAGCATGCAGGCTCCTTTTTACAGAAGACGACAATTTTTCCATTCTCCACCATCGCCCATTCTGCCCTGGAAACACAATGAACAAGTCGTACAGGCGGATTTGGGGTCATGTCAACAAAACGGTAGCTAAAATGACGAAACACAAGCAGTTTGCACGTAATCTAGACCAGCTAGGCCAACAGGTGAGAGGGGCTGTGTCTGTTTGTTGTGCACACCTCTCAAAAGCCCGTCTGGTCTGTACGTGTGTGTGTTTGTCTGTTAAAAAGCGCTCATCTGCTCCCGTCTGTCTCTCTGACTGGGCTCATGGAGAAGAGGGGGAGAGAGAGAGGATTCATCTCGCGAATATGCCTGATTTATGTTCCCAACCATCTGATCCACTTGCTTGGGCTACTGGCCCATCCTCCTCTCCACCTCCGCCTCTTGTCGCGGCTAAACTCCTTCCCACTTGCCTCGCAGCCCATCTCCTCAACACACATTTATGCTCAGACTTCAATTCTCGTGTCAGCCACAGATCTTCGAATCCTCGGGTCGGTCGTCTTAGTTGCCACGCTCTAGGCTTCGTCGCCTGGCCACCCGCCCTCTTCTCTTCTGCTCCCCTGTCATGAGCTTTTCGCATTCAGTCACCGACTCAACTGTCCGACCGATCCCACCAGACGAAGTGGAGGCAGGAGTTGAAGTAGGAGATGAAGGCAAAGACGGAGACGGAGACGAAGCCGGGGAGCGAGGAGGTATGGCCGGATATGAAACGACGAGGCGGCTCGAGCCTGACCATCCGTCCATCTGAGCGGAGAAGACGGCCTGACGACAGGAGGCCTTTGCCAGTCGGACTCAGACTGTGGGACTCGGACTATCTGGACTGAAGAGCTGGAAAAAACGCTCTATTCGCAATCAGGTAAAGCAGCCTGTTTGGCTCCCAAGCCAGGCTGCAAGATGATTGACTTGTCGCCGAACATGTGCACTAACAAACGTGTACAAACCACTCGCAGACCAGGTTCCCTCCCTTCTGCCAATCTTCCAGTTCTTCGTGATCGCGTCTTCCCGTCCATCTGTTGTATGCATGCAAAGGCATAGACGCAAGCAGAAAATTGTCACGCCCCTGC